TAGATAACTTTAAGTTGTACATGTAACCACGGGCAACCGGAAATAATCAACAAATGGACTTGGGCCATTTTCAAAATAAACGGCTCAAATATTTCTTGAACAATCTTATCTTAAATCGAGACTAACATACACGTGAATGCATTTTATTTGTAGATCATGACATTGCCGTATCTTGATATGGTTGTCTCGGAAGTTCTCCGCAAGTATCCGACATTAGGATTTCTAGAACGCGTCGCAGCCACCGACTACAAAGTTCGTAATTCCGATTTAGTACTGGAGAAAGGTACTCCGGTGTACATCTCTTTGTACGGAATGCACTATGACCCGGAGTACTATCCTGATCCGGAAAAATTCGATCCCATGCGATTCAGCGAGGAGAACAAAAAGAACCGGCCATCATTAACGTACTTCCCTTTCGGCGAGGGACCACGTGCTTGCATCGGTTAGTATAACACCAAATCTTCGCTGCTAGAACTTGAATTGGCACAATGAATTGGCCAATGCAATTGTCAATTTATTGCCCACTTTACATGGCTATGGAAACTCAAACGATTCTAGTCGAAATTAGAATGGTGCATCTGTATCATTGATTGCACTGTATCATTTGTTTCAGGGCTTCGAATGGGTCTTATGCAAACAAAACTGGGCATTGTTCGGATGCTAAGCAAATACGAGGTGTTGCCTTGCGAGAAAACGCCGGTGCCGGTGGTGCTGAACCCAAAAGCGTCTATTACGGCATCGCTGACGGGACTGTACTTGAATGTTCGGAAAATCACGACAGAGCCTAGTTAAATATGTATATAACCAGATGCAGTTACTAATCAAAGACTATTGCGAATTAAGTAAAGTTTTTGAGACTGTATGTGATAACGATTTGACGACACTTTCTTCTACTAAGTCCTGATCTTCATACAGAAACCGATTAAACTAAGTACAGTAATGTCGCCCGAATTGTGCACAAAAATAGACAATTTGGGAACAGGAGATACGATTAATCGTATCTCACAGCTCCTTTTTATAATTCTTGACAATTCGGAACTATAAAAAGCGAACCGCAAGCCTCGAATAATCGTATCTCCTCTTCCCAAATTGTCCAT